TAACAAAATTTAAAATTTTAACTATTTTTAAGTGTATAATTCAGTGGCATTAATTACTTTCACAGTATTGTACAACCATCACCATTAAAATGATTTCTGACGTAGAAGAAAATTTATGCTCAAGGAGCAGTCATTGCAAGAGAGGAAGATAACAGATGGGAAATACCTGAGGCTAAGTCAGGATGGGAACCTATGGGTTGGGCCATGTTAAGGGCCAGGCAACAACTTTGGGAGGCTGATTCCTCTCACTGTGAACATTCTGAGGACTCTACTTCCTAAACACCCTTCTCAGTACTTTGGGTGTCTGTGTGTGTACACATGTGCATGTTTCCCTTACAGGAACGATTCCAGGTGAAGAATCCTCCCCACACTTATATCCAGAAACTCCAGAGCTTCTTGGACCCCAGTGTAACTCGAAAGGTGAAGTGCGAGGCTGGGTGGCCTGGCTTTGCTGCCTTTTATCATCCTGTGGAGTCTGGGGGCAAACCCTTTGTCTTGGGGGTGGGACAAGTGCTTCTGAGCCATGGGACTTGAGTTTCTGGGTCCTGAGACCATGGGCCTGGAGTGGCTGGCAAATCATGGAGGGAAGGTCTATAGCTGCCATCTTGCATCCTTTCCCTTTCCTTTTCCACCCCTTTTGTTTGTACTGTGAAGTTGGATTGGTGGCCTCCATCAGTGACAGAAAATTCAATGTTTACAGAAGTTCAGGAGGAGAGTTCAGGAGTCAACCAAAGTACTAAGGGAGCTGGAGATCTCACTTCGCACCAACCACATTGGGTGAGTTGATTTTGGCCATCAGAACCTCTTCACCTGGCCCCAAGCTGTTGTCTGGCCTCACATGATCTAGTGGTCTCTGAGGAAGATTGGCCTGATTCTCCTCCCTACCGTGGGGCAGAGTTGCCCCTTGAATGGCTTTTGGCCCCCCAGAGCTTCATTTTTCTGGCTCTTCTCCCCATCAGCTGTGCCAGCTGCTAACTGGATGCTGTTGGCAAGCTTGGGGCCTCTCCTGGGGACCTCAGCCTGTGGCTTTGAGTGGAAGACATTCTCACAGCAGCTGAGACTAGAGTCTGCCTGTGGCCTGGGGCAGGGCCAGAGGAGGCCTAGAGAAGGCTGGGAGTGGGGGGAACATATTGCACTGGGAAGCTGAGGCCTAGTTCCTGGCCTATTTAGTGTCCAGGAGGATTATTTGCTTGTTTGGGAGAAGACAGAATCTTAGTTCATGAGCAGAAGCAGCATCCTGAGGCACTAGGAACGAAGATCTAGGGTAGTGGAGACCAGGAGTTGAATGTCTTCCGGGTTCATAGACCCTGGTGATACCAACCCATTACCAAGGCCCCTAGGAACTTTATGAGTCTTTTTCTCCAGCTTCTGAGTGAGGAACCAGGAGCCCTGGTGGCGCAGTGGTTGAAGCAATTGACTACTAACTGAAAGGTTAGTGGTTTAAAACCACCAGTGGTTTGAAACCACCAGTGGCTCTACAGGAGAAAAATGTGGCAGTCTGCTTCTGTAGAGATTTACAGCCCTGGAAACCCTCTGGGGTTGCTATGAGTCGGAATCGACTCGACGGCAGTGGGTGGGTGGAGTGGGGAACCAGGACTTGCTGTGTAGGCAGAGGGGCTCATACACGTGGTACAGTGAAAGAGGACAGTGGCCTCAGTTTTATAAAAGCATAACCAGCGAGAGAGAGAGAGTGTGTGTGTGTATGCACATATGTGCAAAGGGCAGTGAGGGACACCTGCCATCTGCAGGCAGAGGTACAGTCCTGACAGAGGGGCTTGGCACGAAGGTTGAAAGCCTAGTGGTGAGAAGTCAAGCTTGGGATGGGGGTAGGGGTGGGGGTTCTGGGCAGGTGCCAGCCCCAGGTTCCCTAGCTTCCTGAGAGCAAGGTGGAAAGAGCCAAATGACATCATCAGCCTTTTCCCTTCTGCTCACCACAGCCGCCCACTTGTCCACCCCCAGGCCAAGCCTGCCCAGGGCTCTTGTATAGGGTAGGAGACACCTGTATGTAGCCAGCTGCAGCAGCAGCAGTCACAGGGGAAATGGCACAGGAGAGAACAGGAAAAGGACGGTTCCTGGCTTCGGTAGCTGTGCTTGGAGTATGGCTTCCATACGTCATCTGTGAAACAGACATTGAAAGCCAAGCCACTGGGAAATGTGTGACCAAACCTCTACCTTTATTTGGTGAATCCTTCACAGAAGGAGAAACTGGGCCTCCTCAGTTACCCTTTGTGTGAGGGAAGAGTGGCACAGATGGCAGCTCTGAACACAACCCACCACCCTACGTTACTCCATAGGGCCTTTCCTCTGTCTCTCTCAGGCCCTTCTCTGTCCTCCATATTAAGTCCTGTTATGGTGTGGGTGGGGATGGGGGTCTGTTCTTCTAGGGAGAGGACCACAGAGCAGCGCATGACAGACCTCTCTGCCCACCCCTTCTACCTGGTGCCTGCCCCTCTGGCCGCTGGCCAGCAGCTAGGGCCAGAGTAGCATGGTTCGCAGGCCCAGGGCCTCCTTGGGGCCTCTTGGCAGTTGGCACACAAGTTAGAGGTCTGGACCTGGTCCTTGGTTCCCAGGGAACAGCTCAGTGCTGGCATTTCAAGATCCCCTGTCATCTGAACTGTGGCTTTTCTGGGTAGATTTATGTGGGAGGGCCAGGATCCTTCCCGGATTTCTGGGCAGGAAGAGCTTGTCAGGCCATCAGGCTGGTGTGTGGATGTTCCAGGGTGGTAGGAACCCAGGGCAGGGTGGGAGAGGATGATCTCCCACTGGTCACCACCTGATCAGCCCAGCCCTGTAGAAGCTGAGTGTACAGGGGCAGCAGGATGGACCTCAGGCCCTGGAGCAGGGTGGGGTTGGGAAGTGGGATTCCAGAGCCTCGCCAGTTTACTCCTCTCTTCCTGGTTTGTATTGGTTTCTCTGCCTTGCCTAAATACCCTTTAACCTCTCCTCTAAGTGTCAAGATCCCAAAAATAGCAGTGTAGACTCAGACAGGAAATGAGAAGGGGGTGGGGAGTTGGAGAGCAGACAGACAGGAAACAGGAGGCCTGTCAGCCCCCAGAGAGGAAGCTAACTTCAGGCAGCTCCAGTGTCAGTCAGCTTCAGCTGTAGCCTGCTGCCAAATCTCAGCCAGGCCTGGTGCTCAGCCCCAGGCCGCTCTGTAGCTCAGGGTGTGGCCGGCAGACCCGGTGCTCTGTTCCAGCAGTGGGGGAGCAGCAGCCCTGGAGGGCAGTTTGGACACAGTGCGTCTATAAAGACCCCCAGACATTCTGAGGGAATAGAGCACTCAGAAGAATAAGGGTTTCATTTTGAGAGTTTTACGTCTCTGTGCTCTGTGGAGTGAACCTGTCATGTAACAGTCCTCCAGGATTTGCTTCTGACTTTTATTCTAGGGGTATCTCAGCCCAAAAGGACTGAAGGAGGAAGGGTGAAAATGCCCTAGTACATTATCATTAGGTACCTTATTGTCTACCTGCCTCCCTGGAGGAGGGGTCCAAGTCCTCCGTCTGAGTCCGAGCGGTCATAGCCATTCTGGAGTTATCTGAGTTCCTGACTGCTCCCCCAGCCTGTGCTCATTTTGCCAAACTCACTGACTGAACACAGAACTTCCACACATCCCTATTGCCTACTACTTCCCAAAACACCTTTCCTTGAGCTTGGTGGAAAGCCATTTGGCCAGATATCCAGAGCTCTCTTTGTGTCCCTTCCTGCCTGTATCGTGACTGAGAGTTTAGTCACGTTCAGGACCTGCTGGCCTCTGTCAAGCATCCTCCAGCACAGCTCTGTGGGCCTGTGTGAATGCTGTTAATACCTCCCCAATTCTTCCATCAAACGCTGAGCAAGGACAATGTGCCTAGCCATGTGCTAGACACCAAGGGTACAGAAAACGAGTGAACCAGGGCCCTGGCCCTTAAGCAGGGAGTACATGGAAGCTTGTTTGCTGGAACGCTTACATGACAAAGCAAGTGGTATTAGAAGGCCTGTACTTTTCCCCTTCCCTGGCTCCTCTGCCTAAGGCAGGTCCAGGCCAGTGATGGGACCATGGATGGGTTTGCTATGGGTTCTGGTCTCCAGGAGTTTCCTAGACTGGTGCTAAGCTCCAAAGGGACCTGGGAGGAGGTGTTGCTAGGTCAAAGGCCCCTTGCCCTCGTCACTGTTGACCTACTTCAGCAGACCCCCTCCACTGTGTTTGCTTTGTCTGCAGGTGGGTACGGGAGTTTCTGAATGATGAAAACAAAGGCCTGGATGTGCTGGTGGATTACCTGTCCTTTGCCCAATGTTCTGTCATGTGAGTACCACCCGGAGCTGAGGGTGGGCAGGGCACAGTCTCATTCTAATCTGATGAGGAGGGGTGAGATTTCATTTCAAGGGTGAGGATGGAAATGGGAATCCCAGGAAGGGTGGGAGTAGCCTGGACGGAGGTGTGGAAGTGGACAGGCAAGCCAAGGGATGTCTGGTGATCAATGAAGAATGCCAGTTGGCTGGAGTAGGTCAGTGTTGGGAAGCAGTGGGAAAGAGATGTGGACAGGGATCTTGGAGTCAAACCCAAAGGATCCGAATGCCAGGCTGTAAACAATCTAAGAAAATGTCCTGGCTTCTGGGAGAGATGCCCGGGTGGAACTCATTCCCCTTTGAAAAGTTGAGGAGCCTTGGTGGCGCAGTGGTTAAAGTGTTTGGCTGCTAACCGAAAGGTTGGTGGTTCGAACCCACCAGCTGCTCTGTAGGAGAAAGATGTGGCAGTCTGCTTCCGTAAAGATTACAGCCTTGGAAACCCTATGGGGGCAGTTCTGCTCTGTCCTATAGGGTTGCTATGACTTGGAATTGACTTGATGGCAAGTTTTGGGATTTGGAAAGTTTCATCTTCAGGAAGCTCCTTTAGGTGTCCAGATGTGAGAGGGTTACTCCAGGTGGTTGTTAAAGAGCCCCAGGAGCAGTGAGTGTGACCTTTGACCTGGGCTAAACGTGAAGCATCTCGGAGCCTCCATCAGGTTGGGAGCTTGGAGGCTGCTGGGAGCGAGTTAGCGCAGCCAGGAGGCCATGTGGTATAGGGGAGGAATGAGGGCTTTGGAATCAGACAAAGTCCCGTTTGGGTCTCAGTGCTGTCATTAACTGTGTGACTTCAGGCAAGTTTGTATCCTCTTCTGTAAACGGGGATATACATTCCAAGGTTGTTGTAAGGATTAGATGAGATAATGTGTGTAAATCACTTCGTAGTGTTTGAAACATATCAGGTCTGTATTGTGGTAGCCCCTTTATTATTCAAGGTGGCATACACTATCATAATGACGTGACTGTATGGAAAGAGGGATTCTAGTGATAATTCATGGGATGACTAACACATTCAGATTTATACTTATGACGTAATTCAGTCCTAGGGTGACCAATCATCCTGGTTTGCCTATGACTTTCCCAGTTTTGGTGCTGAAAGTCCCTCCTCCAGGGAAACCCCTCCATCCAGGGACTCAGCCCTAGCTTAAACTTTCACTTTTCTTACTATGTCCCTGTCCCCTTGGCCGTTATTCTTTGTCCAGCAGGCCTTTAGTCTCATATCCTTAGGGATTTGAACCAACACCTCTCCTAGGTTTGGCCTCTGTCACCTTTTCCAGGTTATTCCCTGTTAAAACCAAAGAGTAGCCCACTCTCTGTTCCCTTCCCTACAAGCCATGCCTCATGATCCTCCTACCCATTTAGAAACCACTCTTTTTATGGAAAGAAATGAAAAACATTTGCTAAAGTGATTTTTTTTTTAATTCAGAGCTTTGATAGTAAAAAGATGTAGATCATTTTTTTCCAAATAAGCCTATCTCTCTTATTTGAAAAGAAATAAATCCCAGCTGCTTTAAACCAGGAACACACTGAAACCTTAGTATTGTAGTGTCCATGGCAGCACCTTCAGCTCTGTTTTAAAAAGAAAGACTTAGAGAAAAGATAGAATATGTGTTTGGTGAAGGGTTGAGAGGAAAGGGTGAAGCCAAATAGAGTTTCAGTGAAGGCATTTATTTGTAAACTGCATGTACCAATGCTAGGGAATATTCTTATTGATGGAGGGAAGCCACTGGCAAGCTGTCCCTGTCAGAGGGATTCCTCTGATATCTGATTGAGAGCCCCATTAAACACCTCCTGATCATACCAGCAGAACTCTGAAGTCTATTTCTGGTCCTTTGGAACATTCAGGCATCTACAGATGTCATTTCCTATTTCAGAAAGCCTCAGCCTTTGTGCCTTCTGACCTTGGGGCTGTGCATGTCTGAGCAGAAGGCCCCCTGGGGAGAAGAACCTGTAGGAGATGCTCACTGAGTCCTCAGTGACTTACCGGGAGAAGGACAGGAAAGAGTGGGGCTTATTCTCAGAGGCAGTTGTATCCCAACGTGAGGATGTGGAAGGGAGAAGGCCACATGGATTTGTGTTTTCCGGCTGCCCTCCTTGCCCTGACCACACTCACCAGCTGCTGATGCAGAGACATCTGGTCCCAAAAGCAGGAAGTGATGGAGAAGCCATCCCAACTCCTGCAGGGACTAGACCACAGGACCCCAGTCCAAACCCTTGACCTCTGGTTTCTTCCCCTGGGGAAGCTGAAGCCCAGGGAGCCACTATGTCAGGAAAACCTAGAAACCTGAAGTAGCCAGGACCACGTTAAGCCTGGTCATTGAAACCTAGTGCTAGGATAAGGTCATGTGCTCCTCCGGAACATAGAGGATTGTCCTCTGGGTTTGCCGGGTGCTCAATTCCCTGCCATTCAGATCTGCCCTCATGAGCCCAATTCAGAACCACCTGGGCTCCCTCAGGGCACTGAGAGGCCCTTCTGGCTGCTGCCATTTGCCAACTAGCAAGACCTGCTGTTGACCTATTCCCTACCACCCTTCCACAAGGCAGATTCTCCATGGGAGCCACAGCTCCTCTGAGGTATTCCTTCCAAGGCTGGGAGTGCAAAAAACCTGCCAGCCCCCCACGTCCCTTTGGGCCCATGGGAGGCACTCTTCCTGGAGTCACCTGGCCAGTGGGGGGCAGAGGAGTTGGCTTCAGTCAGCAGTCCCATCTCCTCAGATTCCCCCTCCTGGTTTCTGTCTGTCCTGCTCTGCCCTGTCCTGTGTCGGAGGCTTTCTGACCAGGATTGGGTCTCTGCTGCCCAATTTTGCTCTTTCTTCTTGCCGCCCTTGCTTCTTGTTGCCTTAGAGGCTTGAGGCTGGGGAGGGCTGGCCGGGGGGCTGGCACTGAGTTTCTCCTCTGTGTGTGTGTGTGTGTGTGTGTGTGTGTGCGCGCGTGTGTGCCTGTGTGTGCACGTGTGTCCTTTCATGCTCCAGGTTTGACTTTGAGGGTCTTGAGAGCGGTGACGATGGTGCGTTCGACAAGCTCCGGTCCTGGAGCAGGTCCATCGAGGACCTGCAGCCGCCCAGCACCCTATCGGCCCCCTTCACCAACAGCCTCGCTCGCTCTGCGCGCCAGTCTGTGCTCCGGTATGTGTGTGCTCGCTCTGCTCGCCTGCCTCCACCCTTCCCCCCAGTCCAGACCTTGGGTAGCAGCGGTGAGTGCTCATGCGTCTCCTACCACTCTTGCTTCCAGGCTCAGCTCTCTTGCCTTCTGCCTGCCAGTCTGTCTCTGGTCTGTCCTCTCTGTCTCCTTGACTGCCCAGCGATCTGTCCTGGGTAAGTACATAGTCCTCGGCTGTGCCCACCCCATCTGGGGTCCCAGCTCTTCCCTCTCCATGCCCCCTCTCTGGGGACCCCTCCATTCCTTGCTCTCACTGCCCTTCCTCCCCGGCCTCTTTGGGCAGTGGCTTGTCCTCACACAGCTTCTGGTCTTTACTGGGTGATCCAGCTCTTGCCCTCATGTCTGTCTGTGTCCCTCTAGCTCTTCCCTCTGCTCCATCTGCTGCTCAGAGACCAGTTTCCACCCAGCCTGCCTGCCCTTTGCCTCCCTTCACTTTGTCTTCCTTTAGGCCTGTTCCCTCCAAGGCTGCAATGTGTTCATTTGTCTGCAGTGTCTTAAGAGTCCTGCCTGGAGGCAGGTGGATGGACCAGATGACTTCTCAGAGCCCCTTCCCACCCAGGGTCTGGTGGCCCTTCCCTTGGTCTCTGTCTTTCTCGTGGCCATGCTTTTCTCCTGCTTTGGGTTGTGTCCCTCTGACACTGCTCATCATTCTAGTCATGTTTCCTCAGTCATGCATGAGCAGATAAACCATTTGGTCCTTCCTCTTTTCTTCATGAAGCACCATTGAAGGGGTGCAGAGTCAGATGTAGCCCTCCGGGGATCTGCTTTGCCTTTTCTGGGGCATAGAAATGGGATGGGAGCCGAGGTGTTCGTGCCCCAGGCAACGTGTGGAAGATGCAGCAATTGGAAGTGCGAGGAGGGAAGGCTCAAAAGAATGTGTCTGTGGATGCATTTCCAGGACCAGGAAGGCCTATACACCTACTGTTTATATTTTGAACCTGTTGGAGGATCTCTGTGGGTTAGGATGGCTTGGGCACTGATTGTAAAGCCAGGATCCTGGGTAATTGCTGACAAAGGCCTGTTCTGGGACTGGCTGCCCTGCTGCCTGCACCCTGCTCTCTGGGCTGTTGGTACATGGTCCCCTTTCCCCTTCTTCTGCTGGGGCTAAGGGGCAGCCTGCTGTCTGTGTGATGGTGAGCACTCCTGGACACTTCCCCAGCATCCTCGGCACCCCCTCACTGCCTGGCCCCTTTCCCCCAGGTATAGCACTCTCCCTGGGCGCAGGGCCCTGAAGAACTCTCGCCTGGTGAGCCAGAAGGATGATGTCCATGTCTGCATCCTCTGTCTCAGAGCCATCATGAACTATCAGGTAAAGGGGCAGCACTAGCCATGAGTGCTCAACCTCATAGGCCTCCTCTGCCAAACCAGGAGAGCTAGGAGGGCACCCGCCTATGAGAGGCAGGCTTGCTAGAGGGCCTACAGTCAAGGAGGTCCCATGGGATCTACCTTCCCCATCATCGAGGTCTCCCCTCCTGTCCTTTCCCCTTGCAGTATGGATTCAACCTGGTCATGTCCCATCCTCACGCTGTCAATGAAATTGCGCTCAGTCTCAACAACAAGAATCCAAGGTGAGCTTCTTCCCTCTCCTCCCCTCCTTCCCTGCCCAGGACTCTGGCGGTCTGGGCTCACTTGTCCCTGACAGAATCCCTGCCTAGCCTTGAGGTCTTGTAACTGGCTCAGAGACCTGACCTTCCCCCTCACCTCTGCTGGAGGAGAAGTGGTGTCTCTGGCCTGCCTCTGATCTGTAGAGTTTAGTGAGGGTGGAAGCCTTCCTTCCCTTCCCTTCTTTCCCAAACCCACCCTCTCCCCTCACCACTGAGACTGTCTCCACTCTCGGAAAAAGCTCGCCCAGCTGTGGAAGTGAGCGGTGGTGGCCAGGATGGGGAGTAGGGTGTTAATCTTTCTCATTCACCCCTTAGGACCAAAGCCCTTGTCTTGGAGCTCCTGGCAGCCGTGTGTTTGGTGCGGGGAGGACATGAAATCATTCTTGCTGCCTTTGACAATTTCAAAGAGGTCAGTCTCCTGCATTTGTGTGTATGTGTGTGGGAGGGGAGCTATCTGACATTGACAAGAAAGGTAGGTAAGCATCATTTCCTGTGATCTCCACTGATTTTAACATCCCAGTTCTTGGCTAAGCAGTCTGCTCTCCCCACAGCCCTCCCCCCTTTTTTCTTTTTGCCAAAACCAGAACGTCAGTCTTACCATAGCTTATGCCAGGGAAGCTCCTGATTGGCCAGCTAAGGATGAGAAGTCCAGTGGTCCTAACTTGGCCATGCAGCAGAATCACCTGGAGAGCTTGTTAAAAATATAGATCCCTGGGCCCCACTGCAGACCCACTGGAGGACTGGGTATCTGTATTTAAGAGACTCCGCAGGTGGTTCTGATACAGCATACCCACAAGTAGAACCCAAAACAGATGTGTTTGCAGTGGGAGGAGAAGGCAAGCAAGGGATAGTTCCTGGGTTGTTGGCTGTTATTGGTGAGCAGAGAGGGAGTTCCTACTGGAATTTCCCCAGCCTCTAGGCCTGGCTCTGAAACCCCCATGTGCTTGAACATAGGATTCCTCGACATCCAGCCACAGCTGCTGGTCCCACCCCTTCCTTCTCTTTGGACCTCTTCCCTAGCCTCCATTGTTCAAGCCAGGAAACGGCTCTTCCTCTTTGAAGCCTAGAGGCTCAGAGGAGCCTCTGTACCCCTCTCAGCAGAGGGGCTTTCCTGTACACTGGCCCCTCCCCTGCATCCCTCCCAGGACCTTAGGCTGCTGCCCCAGCTAGTGCCTGACTCCCTTCCTCCCTCCTTTTCTCCTTCCTTCAGTGCCTAGGCAATATCAGACCCCAGTGTTTCTTCTTGGCCTACCCCAGAGGCACCTAAAGCCCAGCCTAAGGGCACAGGTTTACTGAACTCCCTCAGCAAAGGGGTCCAGGAGCAGGTCCCAGGTCTTCTTTGATAGTGTCCTGAATGGCCCATTTCATAGAGTTTTGGTTGAACTTGTTCTAAACCAGTCCCTTTTCCACTGATGTTCCTGGGAGGCAGGGCTCAGGGGCTTGGGTTCTGACCGGGGCAGATCTTTTCACTGAGAAAGTCTGCCTGTTCAGGTATGCAAGGAGCTGCACCGCTTTGAGAAGCTGATGGAGTATTTCCAGAATGAGGACAGCAACATCGACTTCATGGTGAGGAGCAGGGCCACATGCTCCTTGAGGACAGTGGCCAGACCAACAGTGTATTTTGACATTCCACATAGAACCCAGAAGGATTCTCTGTACTCAGTAAATGCTCCTTGTCTACCTGCATGCCCCAGAGAGCTTTTAGAAACTTCAGGATGATGTCATTTGGGTGTCTCATATCTGTTTCTTTTGCCATGCCCATATCGTCTCTGGCTGGATCCTTTCTGAGCTCCCTTCCCTTTCCCAGGCTCTTCCCTTCAGCCCCGGGTCTTCAGCTAGGTAGAGTTGTCTCAAGAATTACCTGATGATGTACAAAGGAAACCAGAAAGCTGTGTCTTTATTTACATCTATTTTTCATGTAACTTACTTATCTTCATACAGTGAATATTAAGTTTGATGTTTCTTAAGTTCAAATACTATATTACTGCCAGAAAGACTGAACTTTTTTTCATTCGTTCCTTTTGATTTATCGGTCTGTTCTTGTGCGTCTGTTATTGATGATGATGGTTCTAACAGCTGCCTCCCCTCCCTGTCTCTTGGGTGTCCCTGCTCTGCCTTCTCATCTCTGCCTGTTGGGGCTGCTGCTTCCCCAGGTGGCCTGCATGCAGTTTATCAACATCGTGGTACACTCGGTGGAGGATATGAACTTCCGGGTCCACCTGCAGTATGAGTTCACCAAGCTGGGGCTAGAGGAATTCCTGCAGGTGAGCTGGGCTGGCCGGGGTCCTCGCAGGGTGAGGATCTGGGGGTCAGAGGACCAGCTTAGCCATGTTGCAAAGGTTTTTGTTTTTTTTTTAACAAGAGCCTGGTCCTGCATGTTCCTGGGACCCTACCTGTCTCCTGTGGTCTGGGACTCAGACCTTCCTGCAGAGGACTCCCCAGTCAGGCAGCTCCATGTAGATGAGAATCTGACACATGGCCAGCAACAGGAACTCCCTGGGTTTTGTGGAAGTGGCAGTGGAGGATGATAAGGACTAAGTCTTTCTCAGGAGGCTCCCTTGATCCTCTCCCTGCTCCCCCAACTACTACTGTCTCTGCTCTTCACCCAGAAGTCAAGGCACACAGAGAGCGAGAAGCTGCAGGTACAGATCCAGGCATACCTGGACAATGTGTTTGATGTGGGGGGCTTGTTGGAGGATGCGGAGACCAAGAATGTGGCCCTGGAGAAGGTGGAGGAGCTAGAAGAGCACGTGTCCCATGTGAGTGGTCCTTCTTTGCCTGCCAGAGCCATGGTTGGGGGTAGTGAGGGACAGTGGGACCATCTAAGTTCCAGGAATCCTGCCTGAACTGAGCCACCTGCCTCAGATTAAGCCCCAGGGAAGCTTTAGAACCCACTGGGGCTCTAGTGCAGGCTCTGGCCTGAGGTCTGGGGTCATCCACAGACTGGAACATACACTGACCACTAGGGCTGGGCATGAGGCAGCCCCAAGCTCAGAGAGCCAGGATGTGTCCATTTGCCTGGTCTCTGCTGTTGTTTCACATGGTGTCAGACTCTGGGCCCATGGGGGTGATGTAGGGGAGCTACCTGGCCAAGCAGTCTTTGGGGCCCTGGGTGGAGGGTTTAGGCTGGGGTCCTGGCTGGAGTTCAGGCTGTGCTGAGTGTCCAGGCTTTAGGGCCAGCCCCAAACTTGCCCTTCTCATCCTGCAGCTCACGGAGAAGCTTCTGGATCTAGAAAATGAGAACATGATGCGGGTGGCGGAGCTAGAGAAGCAGCTGCTGCAGCGGGAGAAGGAGCTAGAGAGCATCAAGGTAGCAAGTAATTGCGGGGAGGGAGGCCGTGACTGGTCCGGGGCTCCAGTGCCTGGTGATCTCACTTTTATTTCGAGTCATGTCAAGTCCTCTAAAATCTGGCTTACCCTTGAGGCACCCCATTTTTTAGCTGGGAAGGGAAGCGGAAGCCAGAGTGGACCAGAGACACATGGAAGAGGGTGGGAGCAGACAGGACCCCCACGTGTACTCTGGAGTCCCAGTCCAGGGCTCCTCCTACCAGCCCATACTGTTGCTTTTTCCTCCCTTGCACCTCCACATACCCCCTCAAGTCCTGCTTAATGGAGGGGTCAAAGTAGCCCCTGGACCCAGGCATCCTAAATCGGGAGAGCAGTGGCTCCTCACATTTTAGTCTCTTCTGACTTCTCACCTAACTTTGTTAGTTATAAAATCATGTCCTCAACCTACTTTTTCTTCCAGAATACAATTATGCTGGCTCCACCGAACACAATATACATTTGCCTAGTCCCTGCTAAGGGTCTGAAGCACTGTACTGGGAGTTGTGGAAGATGCAGAGATAGATAAGACGGGGTCCTGCCCATAGGGGGCATTCCATTTAAGGATTATACAAGGCCAAATGAGACAAAAGTGATAATGAGCACAAAGGGCTCTGAAGAGCTCCAGTATCTCTGGAGAGAGCAGCTGTATCAGACTGCTGGTAGATCAAGAGAGTTTCCCAAAGGCAGCCTTTTCCCCAGGAATTGAAGGACCAGTGCAGTTAGAATAAGGCTGGAACAGAGGAAAGACATTTGAGGTACCAGTGGAGGTAGGCAGGTTCTCCTGCTTACCTCTTGTGCTCTGCTACACTCTAGCTTCTGTCCCTCGCTTGGATTTCCACCACTCTCTGCCTCTGGGCACCAGAGATCCTGGGGAGGAAATCCCTGGGGCAATGACTGCTGTCCCTTCGGCCCACTCTTTCCTTAATGGTGCTGTTTGCCCAATAGGAGACGTACGAGAACACGAGCCACCAAGTACACACCCTGCGGAGGCTCATTAAGGAGAAGGAGGAGGCCTTCCAGCGCCGATGCCACTTGGAGCCAAGTGCCCGGGGCCTGGAGTCTTCGGGCAACGAGGCTCTGGCCAGGGTAGGCCCTGCAGAGCTGAGTGAGGGCATGCTGCCCTCTGACCTGGACCTCCTGGCCCCAGCCCCACCCCCTGAGGAGACCCTACCTCTGCCTCCACCACCAGCTCCTCCCTTGCCCCCTCCACCTCCCCCATTACCAGGTAACCGAGACCCCTGGGAGTCGGGGGCGGGGGCAGTCCCATTGTGGGAGACAAACCAAAACCTTAGTCAGCAGTATCTTCCTCAGAAACTGGAGAAACAGCATCATTTAAGGGTGGAAGGATATAAAAGCAGGGTGAGAGAAGGCTGAAGGAGAGCTAGAAACTGAGGGAGGTGAAAGGTCAGCGGTTCAAACCCACCAGCAGCCCCACGGGAGTAAGATGTGGCAGTCTGCTTCTGTAAAGCTTACAACCTTGGAAACCTCATGGGGCAGTTCTACTCCGTCCTATGGAGTCACTAAGTTGGAATCAACTTGATGGCACACAACAACAACAATGTTAGTAGAAGGGATGCCCAAGGACAGATGTGGATCTGTTTTAAGGATTGTGAAGATGCTTCTCCTAATTCCTCAGAAGACAGCCCCCGAGAAGGCTTAGACGAGAGCAGGAGAAAATTGGGTCAGAGACTAGCAAGAACGACACTGTAAGAGTTAGGACTCCTCAGAGCAGCTTGGCCAGCGAGTTCATGCAGCCTCCTTCCCTGAGAGTTCTAAGGACAGGTAGGATGGCAGGAGCAGGGGCAAGCCTCTGAAGAGTCTTTCAGTCCCTGGGCCACTGTGTGCCATCTCTTCTTCCCCTAGACAAGTGTCCCCCAGCCCCACCTCTCCCTGGTGCTGCTCCCTCTGTGGTGTTGACAGTAGGCCTGTCAGGTGAGTGTCCCCGGGCTCTGGGTAGGGCTCATGAGACCGGGGAGTGTGTCCCTTGGCCCCTGCTTCACTGATCTTCTCTCCAAACTAGCCATTCGTATCAAGAAACCTATCAAGACCAAGTTCCGGCTGCCTGTCTTCAACTGGACAGCACTGAAACCCAACCAGATCAGCGGCACTGTCTTCAGTGAACTTGATGATGAGAAGATCTTGGAGGTAACAGGGCCAGGGTCCAGAGGGCTGGGTTTGGGGGCTGGGGACCAGGTTGTCCTTTTAGCCAGATCTCCTTACCTTGAAAGAGCCCTCAAACTCAGGACAGGGCTAGCGCCAGTTCCATGAACCTGAGCTGGGCCAATGCTGGGAGTGCTGTTAGGGGCTCCTCTACATGAGGCCACAGCATTTTCCCTTCTTGTCTACTCTTGTCAGGACCTGGACCTGGACAAATTTGAAGAACTGTTCAAGACGAAAGCCCAGGGTCCTGCCCTTGACCTCATCTGCTCCAAGAATAAGACGGCACAAAAGGCCGCCAGCAAGGTGACCCTGTTGGAAGCCAATCGTGCCAAGAACCTGGCCATCACCCTACGCAAGGCTGGCCGTTCAGCTGAGGAGATCTGCAGGGCCATCCACACGTGAGGCTCCCACTGACCTAGCCCTGCTCCACAGCCAGCTGGCAGCCCAGCTCTCCACCTAGAAGCCAGCCTTCCGTAGATTCCAGGGCATCTGACAGAACCACCTCGCCCCCCTTAGTCATCTGGCTTGGTCAGAACTTACTGCATTTGTACTGTGTACCTGACACTGTGTGAGGAGCTGGGGATTCGGCCCAGACCTTCACTCAAGGAGTTCTTAGTCTACTGGGGACAGACCAGTAACACTAAGTGATAACCACCAAGATGGCAGAGGTACAGGCAGCTTTGGGGGAACAGGGAGGACCATGTAGCCAAGCTTGTGATCAAGGAAGGCTTCCCAGAGCCTTCTTCACTAGGACCTGAGGGAAGTGCAAGAGTTGGTCCAGTTCAGGGCCTGGAGGGAGAAGCATAGTGCCCTGGGTACTGTGCACAACCCTTCCCCATCCCAAGTCCTTCTAGAAGCTGGAGAATAAAAGGGACAAGGGAAAAAGTAGGCAAATATGAGATCTGAGGTGGTCCCTCCCTTCTACGCAGATTTGACCTACAGACCTTACCTGTGGACTTCGTGGAGTGCCTGATGCGCTTCCTGCCCACAGAGGCTGAGGTGAAGCTGCTCCGGCAATATGAGCGTGAGCGGCAGCCCCTGGAGGAGCTGGCAGCTGAGGACCGCTTCATGCTGCTCTTTAGTAAGGTGGAACGGCTGACCCAGAGAATGGCTGGCATGGCCTTCCTGGGCAACTTCCAGGACAACCTGCAGATGCTCACACCGGTATGCCCCCACCCCAATTCATGCTCCTCTACAGCTCCCTCCTCCACCTCCCCTGCCCTGCCAGTCCTTCTAGCCCCTCCCTCGTTTTGTCCCATCCCAACCTGGGGATTATCAGCTGTTCTCTCTCCTTCCAGCAACTCAATGCCATCATTGCTGCCTCTGCCTCCGTCAAGTCCTCACAGAAGCTGAAGCAGATGTTGGAGGTGGGCAGAGGTTATGGATGGGGATGCTGGTGGTTCCCAGGTCCTAGGTAGGGGCCCTGGGCTACACGGAAAGGAGGAAGGAGCTTCTCAGCGCTTGGACTGACCTGCCTTCCATGCATCTTTTGGACAGATCATACTTGCTCTAGGGAACTACATGAATAGCAGCAAGAGGGGAGCTGTGTATGGCTTCAAGCTCCAGAGCCTGGATCTGGTAAGATGGTAGGGCATATGGGGTCAGGAAGCCTGAGGGGCAGGGGCTGTGGATCAGGGTGCTCAGTCCTCTTAAACTGTCCCCACACCCTCCCAGCTGCTGGACACCAAGTCCACTGACCGGAAGATGACGTTGCTGCATTTCATTGCCTTGACGGTGAAGGAGAAATACCCAGACCTGGCTAACTTCTGGCATGAGCTGCACTTTGTGGAAAAGGCTGCAGCAGGTGAGGGTAGCCTGGCCGGGTGAGCCTGTTCTCACATTGAACCCAGGACAATCCCACAAAGCTATGACGAGAGGGAACACTTCAGTCTGCTTGTTTCTTCTGACCACTTCAGAGCTTTCCACCGGGACCGTGGGCAGGAGCTACCCCAGAGGGAGCCTTCCTCCGGTCTCCGGGCCTAGCCTAGCCTTTCCCAGCTCAGCATGCTGGGAGCAGGAACAGGAAGGGGGCAGTGGCTCTTGACTCCCAACTCCCTCAAGCCTGCCCAGGGAGACTGGGCGTCTCCATAATGTATGTGAAGAGTTTAGAAAAACCATAAAGCCCTGCAGACGTAAGGTAGCTGTTATTTCTGCCCCACCCATGAAAACGGGGGCAGGCCAGAGACAGCTACATTTTGGAGACCAGCAGTCTCTTGGCTTGCCTTCCTTTGCTACCTTGTTCTTTGGATCGCAGTCTCCATTCCTTTTCCTCCTCTAATCAGGCAAGCCTCTGTGAGTCCCAGCTAGCTTGTTGTACCTCTCTCTGTCCCTCAGGGTGGCTCAGGGAGCAGGGGTGTGAGAATGAGTTAGCCCACGCTGAGGAGAAGGGCCTGAGCCTGCTGTAGCCCTGGGCTGGGAGGTGGGCATGCCGCACCTGGGGTAGCTCTCAGTCAGGGCTCTGATGACCACAGTGTCCCTGGAGAACGTGCTGCTAGATGTGAAGGAGCTGGGCCGGGGCATGGACCTGATTCGGCGGGAGTGCAGTCTGCATGACAACAGCGTCCTTCGGAACTTCCTCAGCGCCAATGAAGGCAAACTGGACAAGCTCCAGCGAGATGCCAAGACGGCTGAGGTGAGTACAGGGTGGAGGCGGGTGGGAACACCAGGGCCAAGGGGCTGTCTCCCTCCACGTGGGCTTAGTTCTGGTTCTTGGCATCAGAGAACTTTTATCAAGTGACTGGCTATATGGGGGTGGGAGAGGGCGCTTTGGGGTGGCAGGCAGCCACCTTCTGGAGATACCCACTCTAGGTGCTTTGGGAGCCCCAGCCTCTTTCCAGCTCACAGGGGCTTGGGGCTGTTGGTTTTTCTCCCTTTGGCCCTGGACTCTGCTTCCTGTGGGCCTTTTGTCTCTGGTGTGAGAGCTAGGCTTCTCCTTCCAGCACCCCTGACTCCTTTGGCCCCCTCTTCCCCAGGAGGCCTACAATGCAGTTGTTCGATACTTTGGTGAGAGTCCCAAGACCACACCTCCTTCTGTATTCTTCCCAGTGTTTGTACGCTTCATTCGTTCTTACAAGGTAAGCAGAAGAGAGGCTTTTAAGAGAAGTTTGGAACTGGTTGAGAGGGAGAGGGCTGGGCTTCAAGTCTAGGCCTTTTCCAACTCATTTTCTGAGTCCTGGGAGGGAGTGATCCAAGCTGGCAACACGCCTCTTAGCCGTGAACTGGTGGGCAGGGTGGGGGCCGAGGCCCTTCCTGTCATTGTTTGGGGCAGGAAGTGCCCCTCCAGAGAGTGGCCACCTGGGGTTAGCTGGTCCCACTGCCACCCACTCTCCACCCTCAGTGTTAGCCCCACCCCTCACAGCTTGTGTAAGCCTCACCTCCTCCCCCCCGCCACCCCACGGTTCCTAGGAAGCAGAACAAGAGAATGAAGCCCGCAAGAAGCAGGAGGAGGTAATGCGGGAGAAGCAGCTGGCTCAGGAAGCCAAGAAACTGGATGCCAAGGTGGGTGGGACCAAGAGCTGGGGCCTGGAGGAGGGCAGGGCAAAGGATCGGGAGAGGGTGGAGCAGAGAGCTAGAGAGGGAGATGGAAAACTGGAGCAGAGAGACCACCCAGAGGGCCTGAAGGCTGGAGTCCAAAGGGAGGGAGGGGAGATGGGGCTGCAGGGAAGTGGGAAGGGGGCCTAGGAGGAGGATTCCTAAGCAGCAATGGGGGCAGGGGCTGCAGTGCACCATCAGGAGCATCCTCAGATTGCATCTTGGGGCAGGAACCAGTCCCATGATAGGGTAGGGATGACTCCCTTCCCCTTCAAATGCTCGGTCTTAGACCCCATCCCAGCGGAACAAGTGGCAGCAGCAGGAGCTCATTGCAGAGCTGAGGCGGCGCCAGGCCAAGGAGCACCGGCCTGTGTATGAGGGGAAGGATGGTACCATCGAGGACATCATCACAGGTGGGGCCCTTTTCCCTCCCTGGGGCCTGGCCATTGGGCACAGCTCCCAAAGCCCAGCCCAGCCCAGCCTCTTCGGGCTCTCCTCCCACCCCCACCTCCAGGGGACCTGACCACTGTGTCTCTCTCCCGGGCCACAGTGCTGAAGAGTGTCCCCTTCACGGCCCGTACTGCCAAGAGGGGCTCACGCTTCTTCTGCGATGCAGCCCACCATGATGAGTCTAACTGTTAACCCCCAAGGCTGGGGCCCCCGACAGGTACTGGGCACCACAGCTGCCCCCCTGCATGCCCACTGCCGTGGACTTCTGCTGGGCCCCACAGGCTCCGCCCTCCCTCGCATGACTTGGAGTCATCCTCTGGCAGCCTCCTGCTGATGGGGACACATACTTCTCTCCTTGCATGCCCCATGCTCTGAGAAGCATGGCTCGTCCCCTGCATGTGCCCTCAGGGGAGTGGTATCTCTCCCACTAATGCTGTCATGGCTTCTACTAAGACCCATGGGGAAGGGAGTTGCCAGACCAGGGTCTTACCAGAGCTAGGCTGGAGCAAGTAGGACCAGGCCTGTTTCTGGCTGAGGGACTCCATTCCTGAGGCCATGGTAGCCTTTGTCTTCACTTCCCCTGGGGCTGCCTCTCACAAGCGCTCTGGCAGTAGCTTCTGCCCAGCGGTAATCAGATGTCCCTGAACCTCTGTTTCTTGATAGTTAGTGGGTCTGAGGTCTCTTCCTAGCTTCTGGCTCTTGCTGAGCCTGCCTCGTTTCAGCCCACTGCCCAAGGGCCTCTAGTCATCACTGATCCTCCATAGATGGAGCCCAGCAATTTCCTTCTGGAGCCTCTTTAAGCTTCTCCCTATCTACCTCATGGAAACCCTGGTGGTGCAGTGGTTAAGAGTTCGGCTGCTAACCGAAAGGTTGGCAGTTCGAATCCACCAGGTGCTACTTGGAAACCCTGTGGGGCAGTTGTGCTCTATCCTATAGGGTCGCTACGAGTTGCAATCGACTCGACAGCAGTGGGTTTTTTTGGGTTTATCTAGCTCATGGCTGGCTCCTCCCTGGCCCTGCCTGTGGGGCTGCTCCTAAAGGTGCTGCTCCTATGGAGGGTAGGCCTGGCCCAGCCTCCCTGCCTGCTCACAGCGTTCTGTCTTCCCCGCAGGCCTCCACTGCCAGCCCACTATTGTTCGACATCAAGCCAGGAGTGCCACACCACCCAGCAGCTCCCCTCGTGCTCCAGGCCCCCACTGAGACCCTCTGGAGAGGCAGAAGCACTTCAGCCCTCGGAGTCCTGCTAGTCCAACCAGTGGACCTGGAACCTTGGAATCAACCAAGGACCCAGCAGAGGCTGTGCTGCTGTCTCAACCCAGGGACCTGGCACTTCCCTGGTGCCTCCAGTACTGCACTTTGCCCCAGTGCCTTTAACTTCATTTCCCAAAGGGTTGTCGAGGGTCAGCGCAGGCCTGGGAAAAACCATTCCCAGCTTTAGCCTCTAAAGGGGCACCCAGTCCCCTCTTCACTAGAGCCCAGAGGGGTGAAAGGAGAAAGCAGCATCCCTTTTTTCTCCTTCCTTTCCCCAGCTCCACGGGTCAGCTCTGGTCCGGAAGTATCCAGGCTTAGTACCCAAGCCCCTGCCAATCTCAGATCATCTCTTACCAAGAGCAAAGCCCTCCAAAGCCTGGGCCCCACCCAGCTGTGCCCAAGTGATAAGGGTAGAGGACAGGTGCCAAGCTCACTGCCCTATCCCTTGGCCCATTTCAGTCTAGGCTGGCTCTGTCCTGGCAGATGTGGGCAGAAGAGTAGGACAGCTAGAGAAGGGGTGTGCCAACAGCATCCTCACCTTCTTTCCCCAGCTAGATTTTTTTTGGGGGGAGGGGGTGTGGTGGTCTTAGCTGACCATTTGCTCAGTTCCCTCTCAGCCCCTGGGAAGGAATGCAGGGGCCCATCCCTTTTTGTACATGTACCCACCCCCTACTCCCTTTCTCTCTTGTACATAAACCCGAGCACCAGGCGTCACGCTGTCTCCTCTTTCTGAGTTTGAGGGACTAGGGTAGCCATTTAGCCTGACCTGAGCCATGGCGGGGAGAAAAGAGGCTGGGAGGAGCCACATCTACTTTAGGGGATGTGAGCTCAGAAGCCTGGGGGGAGGGGAGCCAGGCTGGGTGGGCGCCAACCACACAAAGGAGGCAGGCCTGCCTGTGAGACACTGGTGCCCTCTGCTGGTCATGCGTACACCTGTCCAGCCCCCAGCCTGCCCCAGTAGCATATGGAGAAGATGGAGCCACTGGCCATGTTATAAATAGTTATTTAAAAAAAAAAAAAAAAAGAAAGGAAAAAAAAACCAAAACCACACATACATTGGGCCCCGGGGCTGGAGGAAGGAGTGGTGGAGCCCCGGGCCAGGGTGGGCAGGAGCAAGCACTGATGCTGGAGGGTGAGACCCTGCCCTCTGCCACCCAGGCTGTGTCCACCAGCCTGTCACTCTTCCACGGAGACCCTTTCTTACGTTTTTATCTACTGGCATCACCCACCCCACAGGGCATGTACCACCAAGCTCTGGTCTGGGGCTGAGGGCAAAGACTGCACTAGTTGTCCAGGAGAGGAGCGGGGCGGGGGGGCCTTGAACACTAATAGCAACCTTGAGAGGTGCCAACAATGGTGGATGGGGTGGGGTTACTTTAAGAAAAGTGGACACAGACCCAGCTGAGGAGGAGTCTGGGGCAGACAATGCGAGTAACCTAGGGGCAGAGAACAGCCCGTGGGTCACTGATGGTCATCCAGCTGCTGCAAGAGTGTCCGCCGCCGCCTCTCCAGCTCACCCTCGCTCAGCTCACTTTCCGATGTGTCCCAGCCCGACTGTTGGAACAAAGGCACGGCTGACCACAGGCCTCCGCCGAGAGCCACAGAGGCCTAGACAGAGTGCTGACTGGGGTGGGGCTAGGATACCTGCCTCTCACCTTCTCCTTCTTGATTCCAAAGCCTGGGGATCGGTTAGGAAGCTCTGCTCGATGAAGCTCCCTGTCCCTGTCCTGTTCCTGCTCTTTCTCATCGCTCTCCTTGCCAGCCTTCTCGTCAGGATCTGTCTCGCTCTCAGGACTGTTCTGTAAGAGCCCAGAGCCCACCTGCTCAGTCCTTGTGTGGGACAGTGGAAGGAGGGGGTGCACTAAGTCTCACACAACAGCAGGCCCTTGGGTGGAATCTCGTCTACTCACCGACTTGTGTCTTCTCTTCTTATTTTTCTTTTTTGGTTTCTTGGCTTTCCAAAGGCCATGATCTAGAGATGGAAAAATCCCCAATAAGAAGGGAGAGCTCATCCTTTTCTGCTACACAGCAGAAAAACCCTTACTCTTCATAGACACGGGACTGAGACAGGAATCTGAGTTAAGTCCAGTTTTCCTCCCTTCTCCCAGTGTCTTGCTGGGCCAGAGACAGGAAGTCCTTCCGACTCTCCCACAGGTTCAGCCCTCCCCATCTGCTCTACCCTCCAGGAGGCTGGGGCTCACAAGGACTTCCTGTCTACCTAGGGCCTGCCTGGCCCCTCCCTCTCTGCTCTCAACACTTCTCTAGCTCCCAGGCTCCTAGCAACTGCTTACCTGATCCAAGGAGGAGGTGGGAGGGTGGAGAGCCCCGTCCCCCAATGGCAGCACCCCCACTCTCAACCGAATCAAGTGAGGAAGAGGGCTCAGAGCCTGACTCTGAGGGGTTCCGCCGCCTCCTCTTGGGGGGCCGGAGAGATGGTGGGGGCAGCTCCTCCTCTTCCGACTCAGAGCCCTGGGCAGATGAGCAGACACTGAGCACCTTAGCACCGTGTCAGCACAGAAGGTCTCTGGCCAACAGAGGCCTTCAAGTCTGGGAACTGAGGGCAGAGAGGAGGACCTAGGGCCAAAAGAATCCTCAAATCTCCCTCTAAGGGAGGTGATACAGAGGAAAAAATGAGAAAAGTACTTATTTCCCCCAAACAATCCAGCCTCACCCCATATCCCTTTTACCCACAACTCACTGAGGGGGAGTGGGAGCGCTTGCGGTGGTGCTTCCTGCCCTTTTTGCCATGTTTTCGGCCTTTGGTGTGGAGGTGCTGGCATTCAGTCTGGCAGAGTCAAAGAGGGTGAGGAAGGCACCTGGGTTAGCATCTTAAATCTGGCCTTGTCTCCTTCCCTCAGGCTAGGGCCTATGCCTGTCCCAGGGCCCTCTAAGAACTCCCCTTGCTCATTACTGACCCAGTGATAGCTCTAGGGATGAGAGGTCACTGCGGTCTCTGTGGAGCTGGCCCAGGGAGTCAAGGGCCTGAGACAGACCCAGAGGCAAGAGCCCTGCCTCACCTCCAGCACCTGCAGGAACTCCCGGAAGAGCCGGATCCGCTCCGACTCCAGGGTGATCTGCTCAAAGGCTGAGTCGCACACAAAGCGCTCACGGACCTTGAACGGGGAGAGCACTGCTGATGAGACCAGGCCTGGCCCAGCCTGGACACAGCCAAGAGCACAGGGCAGGGCTGGGGCAGAGAAAGGAGGGGACTGGAGGTGGCCCACAGCCGTGCTTATGACTGGGATGGGCCCTCAGTGGTTGAGAAGTGCTGCTGCCCTCCAGGTCGAGGGGGCGGTTTTTGGTGCCAGGCTGCGGTCCTGACCTCTTCCCAGGCAGTGCCCAGCTCCAGGGCAGGCACGGCCTGCCTCAGCATGCTTCGAAAGGCAGCTTCCCTGCGCCGCATCCTTCGTGCCTCCTCCTTCTCCCGCTCCCTCTCCCGGGCCTCCGCTTTCTCCAGCAGCTGAGGGCAGAAAGGACACAACAGAGTCACCAGAGGGTGAGTGCCCAGGTCCCACCCAGGCATAACTTAGGTGAGAAGTTGGAGCCTGGGCTTCTGCCAGTATCCCCCTAAACTGGGCTAGTGAGCGAGGAGGAGAACAAGACACTGGGATGAGTTAGAAAACTGAGCCCCAGCTACGACCCTAACCCACCCAGCGCAGTCTGGCCCCTCACACTATTAAAGGTCAGCTTGATGTTGCCTGCGTCCAGCGCAGCAGCCCTCTTGTCAAAGCTTATGATGTGGGCGAAGTCCTCAAAGGCTGTGTTCACCTCCACGCAGAAGCCCCGGTCCTGTGGGTACAGCAGCCCATGAAGCCAAGGGCACCACCACCTGAGGCCCAAAGCTGGCCTCCTGGGCAGGCAGAGGGGTTGGACTGCATGGTGCTCAGAAAGCCCCCTCCCCCTAGAAGAGAGCCTCAACACTGGAACATGCCCCTGAAACCAAGCCGTCCAGGTCCTTCTCATCCAACAACAGCCCCCGTGCCTACCCTTAGTTCAGGCACCTACAGCCACAGGAAGCTCAGGGAGTTTGCTACACGGGGGTGGAGGGCCCAGGATTCTCCATGACTTCACCCTTTTTCTTCTCCTTCCTTGTCTGCTGACTGATGCCTGAGTCTCACAACTAGCTCTTTGTTCCTTTGGCTTAAAACTCAGGCCCCAGTGTGGGCCATCCTGCTCGGTAATGCTTCTGTGCATTCTCAGCATCTGTTCAGGTCCCCACGTGGTCCCCAACCTTCACTCTCCTAACTAAGCACCCTTTGGCTATGTCTTACTGAGTGCTTCACACACATTATCCCATTTAATCCTCACACTGTCTAAACTTAAAATAGGTCCTGTTATCCTAATCTTATGCAGAAGGAGAAACCAAGGTTTAGAAAAATTGGAGCAGTTGCCCAAGGTCTCATAGCTAATAAATGGCTGAGCAAGAAATCTACCCCAAGTCTTTCTAGCACCAAAGCCAGTGCTTCTAAACACTATACCAATACCCCACTTCTCATTCCATGGAAAAAAATCAAGGCCATTAGGTGTGCAACTCCCCAGCAACATTAAAACATCCCACATTCTCCAAACACTCCCTGATGAAGTGGAGGTTTAAAAAGCTACCTCATTTGGCCCAATATGACACAGTGGTAAGTGGTGTGACTGGAGTCTGATGTCTGGCTCTTGAGTCTGGCCTCCCCTCAGCTGGGGCCCAAGCCTCAATCCCTTCCACTCTCCACACAGCTGTACCTGCCTCTGGCCATCCCACTGATGTCAGGGCTATGTTCTTGCTTCTTCCCAAGAGCACTTCCTCAAAACCCACACTCTTTAGCCCTTCTTCTCAAACATAGTATTCCCTCTCAGGGAACTAAAAGCTTCAATCTCCTCCTCTTCACTGGCTCCTCACATCGCACACAAACTTCACTGAACCTAGAACATCCTTCTTCCATCCTGTTCTTACCTTCCTCAAGCTAACCACCTCTGCCTCTTTCCCTTTGTTTCAAAATCTCTTAAAAAGCACAAAGGAAAAGGAATAAACATTGAATTTGTGGAGGGCCTACTATGAGCACGGCACT